AAGAACATAAGTTATAAATTCATAATTGTTTTCTCTTGTTTGCTTTCATAGTCTGTCAGAAAATATTGACTCTAATAGGCCTGCGGTGCAAATAGCTGGTTTACACTCTGTAAATAACATCTCCTTTATGTTGTCATTTTACAACTGTTCAAATTCTCCTAAAGGAAGCAGTTCTGTTGCTCTATTTGGCATAATGGCTTCACTGTTGATGTATCATATAGATGATATTGATTCTCTTCACGTTCTAACGCATAATTATTCATTTCAATCAGTCCCATTTAATTCAGGAACCAAAATATTCTTCTACTATTTGTGATGATAGAAAACAAAAATGTAACATTCAAGTTGATCACTCCACTAATCAGCTATGTGTTAAAATTTGATAATAATACTAAATAGTTGGTGTATAACTACCAACACCCAATCACCCACTTAGACAAGAAAAAGAGAGAAATCTTACCTTCCAGCACCCGCAACTACAATCTTCATTTTTGGGAAGTCAATCATTGGCCTTCCTTGTGCTCTGACTGCTCCTAGAAGACCAGCAAGTGCAACTCCAGCTGTCCCCTGGATGGGATATTTGCATTAAAACATGTTTGAATTACTCTTAACTAGCAATTTCACATTGAAGGACTTATAACTTGCAATTTATTAAAACTCACAATAATTTCTCTAAATCAAACCCATCCAATCATTAAACTGATATGCTAAAATTTTGTAGTAAAAAAAGGGAAAAGGTTATTTATAGCAATCACTGGAGTTCGCATTAAAGGCCCAACACGTGGTCTTTAGGAACTTCCCAGATGAGCAATTCATAAAACAAGCAAGGTAAGAGCTTGCACTCTCATGAAACGCCTTGTAGATCATTTTCAAATCTTTTCAGCATATGCATAGGATTTGTGGTGTATTTTAGTGATCTTGCTCCACTAGAGGTTTTTTGATTAATTTTCTTTTCATATAATCATTAGTTTATTTTATCCACCGAAACAAAAGATAATCCAAGTGTAACTTCACTTCTTTGAAAATACAAATATAATTCGTGTTTTTATTATACAACTATCGACATAGCTTCACGTTTAGAAACATAAATATGAGAAGACATTAGAAATGTCTTACGTCCATTTCCTTGTTAACTTGATTGTCATGCTTAAGTCGATTTCATTAGTCTAGTGCTCGAATTGTTTTGCTTTACATTGCACACCCGCATTAAATATTTGTTGATTTTGTGTGTAAGCATAAGCATGTGTGCAAGCATATGTCTGTGTGGTGAGGGAGATGCACAATAGTCTACAGAGAGAGAGATGATGTCTAGTTGTATGCATTTTGTGTGTAAGCACAAGCATGTGTGCAAGCATATGTCTGTGTGGTGAGGGAGATGCACAATAGTCTACAGAGAGAGAGATGATGTCTAGTTGTATGCATTTTGTGTGTAAGCACAAGCATGTGTGCAAGCATATGTCTGTGTGGTGAGGGAGATGCACAATAGTCTACAGAGAGAGAGATGATGTCTAGTTGTATGCATTTTGTGTGTAAGCACAAGCATGTGTGCAAGCATATGTCTGTGTGGTGAGGGAGATGCACAATAGTCTACAGAGAGAGAGATGATGTCTAGTTGTTTGCACTTGAGAACGAGTCCTTGTCCATGTTTCTCCTAATATCTTTTGCAAAAGTAAAGAACTGTGTACCCCCCCCCCCCCCCAAAAAACAAACAATTTTCCAAATCTTTACCTGATACACTATAAATAAACTAATTAGACTCTGATAAAGTTATTCACCTGAACATCATCATTGAACATTCGATAGTCATTCCTATAACGCTGCAACAGCTTGAAGGCCCACTTACTTTGAAAATCTTCGAACTACACCATGCGATGGGCATTATTATCTTCTCATAAATATAGAACCTAAATACTTCCATTTTTCAAAATAATCCTCTAGACACAACAATAGGAAAATCTTAATCAATATGAAAGACACCTGGACAATCACATTTGGCCAGCGAGTAAATACTGCTTCCATGAATTCATCAATTACTGCAAGATACTCCTCTCCATCAAGGCGGTACTCTTGTAATCCCAAATCTGCAGGCAAATAGTAATAGGTTTATATATATTTGAAGAAGGAACATGGGTAAAAGAGACTCATCAATAACCAAAGCATGTAACCAGGGAACATGACTAAAAGAACACGTTTGATCAGGAAAGGTGCAGTAATCACTAGATATTCAAGGCGAATAAATAGATTGGTTTAGTCTGCTGGTAACAAGTTGGAATAATAAAACATAGAAATGCACAGATAACATCGTGCTAATAAAAATAACTGCACCATACATCATTCTAGGGCCAAACATATACAGGAACAAGTCTTACATAGATCTGACAACTCAAAATTGTTGAAGATAATAGGGCCTTGAAAGGTATAAAAACTTGAGAATTCTCAGGGTGTTGAGTTACGGTACGTCAAACAGTAGTTTCCAAATAACCAAACAAATGGATCAAGAAAACAGGTATATGCACGGATTTATAGTGATCGCCTTCAAAACTAAAGTAAACATCAACCTGATGGTGTCATTACAAAAAGATAGGGAAGAAATGTTGATAAGTGATTGTTAAAATGGCAATTCTATGATATACTTGAATGGTTGAACACAAGATACTTACACAATGGGTCTTTTAGAAGCTTCTCATTGTTGGTTCCGACATCAATCATGACAGGGAGTACCTATTAAAGGAAGAGAAAGGACGTCACATAGCAGAAGTCGAAAGAAACAGGACCAAAGTATATCTAGAATAAGATGAAGATCAAAGTAATTAATGAATGTAGGCATCCAATTCCAGTAATTCTTGTCCTTTATTACAACTTTTCCTTCACATGACGGGTGCATTCCAAAGCAAAAGTTAAACAAAAAAAAAATAATAATAATAATAAATAAATGCAGTGTCTTAAAATTATACATTAACAGAATGTAAATAGCACCAAAAATCATGAGCGTGAAAGGAAAAAAAATATAAGCTCAAAAATCTCTAGCAATGAGCCATATACTGTACACAAAAATAATAATAGATGATTGTCTCGCTTCTATGTAGCTGTTTCCTGATTCACAGCATTGGAAACGTAAAAAAATATCAGAAAAGCAATTAAAAGTGAAATTGAATATCGAATTACCTAATATTTGAACCCTTTCTACAGGAGATCAGAGAAGCATTTTTGGACTAAATTCCCCTGCCTTCTTTCAATTGATTTGCTTCTTGAAAATTTCAAAGTTCAAAGAAACTCCAAGTTGGAGCCAGATAAATGTTTCCAAAAGATTAGTTTCACAAACAACATATCCAATTACCTACTATTTGAATTCTTTCTACAGGAGATCAGACAAGCATTTTTGGACTAATTGTTTCAGTTGATTTGCTTCTTGAAAATTTCAATGTTCAAAGAAGTAAGAGCCAGATTAAATGTTTCTGAAGGGTTGGTTCTGAAACAATATATGAAAAATAAGACTATCATAGTCATATTATCCCTGGTCGTAATTTCTTCTCTCTTTAGATAATACCAGAGTCCATTGATAAAATGTTGACAAAATATCAGCAAGTTGGGAATCCGTCTTAGATACCTACCCACCCCCAGTCCCCCATCCCCAAAACATGGACATTTATATGATATAAGCATGAATTTACATGAGATAAACAGAAAGAGATAGTACTCTCTGAGGGTTTATCCCTGCAGCAGCAACATAAAGATCCAACTTCCCAA